CCCATCAGTCAATGAAACAAAAGAACACTCGTTTTTCTATAGCTCCCTCTTTTCCCTCCGTTAGGGACCGATCCCTAAGAACATCTTTTCCGTTAGGACCAAAATTTATCCTCCCTTTGAATGGGATTGTCCCCTTTTAAGCAATTCATTGCTTTGCTTTCAAGTTAATAAATTGTTCTGTTTATGTTCCTTCATCTAAATGCTCAGCAAATTAGCAAGTCCGCATTGTAGCTTATACCCCATTCATACCAAAGCTTAAACATGATTGAAAGCTGTTTTGTTTAACACGGTGCATTTTTTTTTCTTCTTAGAAGCTGCTTAAACCATTGTTTGTCAACTTCAAATGTAGTCTATTGAAAATACAAGTCAGCAATTACTTGAATCCTATGGAAAATTTAGTTTAACGGTTCTCATTTTATGATTTTCATTCAGTTAAAGACGGTTGAACTAAACATGTTCAGCTGGTGTGAACGGGGTATTAGACATTTTGCGATGACTTAGCTTTTCAGACGTATCCGGACTAATAAAGCTTTGTTGATTACAGGAAAGTAGTGTTTAATAGTGAAAGAACGATAAAAATTATCAGAAATAGACGCAAAACATCTGTCAACGAAAAATTTTCTAAAAAAAACGAAAAAAAACTTAGAGATCTTGGTAGTGTGACGTTCAAAGACAAGTCACAGAGAGTACATAAAGCAAGAAGACAAAAAAACAACCTTTCTTAATCTCTACAGGTTACATTTCGATTATGCAATTTACCTTTTCAACGTTATCTTCCTTGTACACATTCCAAGTGACACCATCAAGTGAGAAATACAGCTTGTAAGTAGACACGATGTCTCGAGTAAACCGTCCAGCTTTTCCTTGTGACTTCGTAGCACAGACAGACTGAACGCTTCCAAGATCAACTTGAAGATAATCTGTGCTGGTGTCTCTGTTCTTTGAGCACCAGCCTCCTCCTCCGATAGATTTATCCAGCCGGCCGTAGTACGGTAAATATTGGGGGCCCCTAACTGAGCTTGCTGTCATACGTGAGTCTGGTATCTTATTTCTGTCTGCCACACCAACAGGGGCACACACTGAGGAGAATTGTAGAACAAGCATAAGCTTACACTAGGAATGAGACAGTTTTTTGTGCTTGAGTTTCAAGTAAAAGAATCCTACCCTAATTACAACTTAATGGCACTGTCCACTCACCACCTTAAAAATTTTAAGAAACAGAAATCGAAGTTTTTCGAAAACAACGTCACTCCTCTTTGGATGTTTGGCGAGATATTAGGCGCACGTTTAAGAATGCACTCAAACCCCTCCTCAGCCGGTAATCATTATAGTGCGAACAGTCGACGTTCTATGCATTTTCTCGAGTACATTGAAAACTTTTGTTGCGTTCTAATTTTTCGAAGTTACTGGACAGAGTGCTGGCCTCATCGTTTGGCCTTAGTTTGCGCGTCCTTTAAAGCACCGTGACGTTAATACATAGCTCATTCATAAAACACTGACTGGTGGAAAAACGGAGATTTTTTCGAAGGATCTCTCGTTACCCTGATGAATTTTTTGGCTTAAACATTATTACCTTTAGTGACGGTAATTTCCACAGCAAACATGGCCTTGACTTTGTTCTCATTCCACATTCCAAGGCAAACATATCTCCCCGAGTCTTCTACTTTTGGGTTCCGAATCTCTAGATCATAACCACGATATTTGGCTCGTTCATAAGGAATCCGTCCGTTTATTTTCGTCCACATATATGTTGGAAATGGAGCAAATATTGCTCCTTTCCAATCACAACCGACCAAGATGGTTTTATCTGTTCCAGTTCTGATGTACTTTGGCGTTGGGTTCCCATACTCTCTCATAGTATTCAAATTCATAAATAGTAACTGAGTAGCCTTCATCTCCTTTCCTAGGACATTTGCGGCTTCACAGGTGTACCAGCCTTTGTCGCTACTCTTAGCATTTATGATGGATAAGTCTCCATCTTTTGAAATAGCCCTGGATTGTGGTATTACACCGTTCCTTTTAGACCAAGTAATTGCAGCTGGAGGGACGCTGTTCACCCGGCATTTTGGGAGGGTAACGTTGCCTCCTATCGCTACAAATGACGGACCAGGTAGGAGAGTAACGGTGGGCCTTACTGCAAGGAAGCAGAAAAAAAAACAGTCACTCAAAGAGACAGAAGAGATAAAAAATACACAAGAAAAATGGACTTAGCAGTACACATTACGAGTTACCTAGTACCCATTCCTTATAATCAAATAGACGATAAATTTTGTGGGAGGAGGAAAGCCAGACGAAGATTACCAACATGTCACGCTAGTATCGGAAATCGGACTCAGGCCATCGCATTAAAGGGTGAAAGCACTCAGCGCTGTGTCAATCCTGCTTTCCACTGAGAAATAAGATATCCCATTAACGTTTTCCTGAACGTATTTTTAGCATAACAGCCTAATTAAAGGTAGCGTTTGCTTGAGACTTCTGATCATCCTTATTTTTAGTTTTTCCCTTTACTCCTTAACTTCTCCATACCTTTCTCTATGCATTTCCTTTGGTACTGACAAGGAGAATTTGCTTAGCGATCAAAGCTTCTTAGGTTGGCGACCACTTCCTTCATTCTCGTGATCTTATGAATGATTCAGCAGTATAGAAGTAAGAAGAAATTAGATGTTGGACTTAAGAGTCCAGCGTAAGCTAAAATGAACAACTTACTATGTACTACAAGAGTTGCTGTTTGTTCATCTTCCCCCAGCAGATTTTTGGCTCTACAAGTGTATTTGCCAGAGTCCTTTTGACCAGCATTCGCAATCTTCATCCGGCCATCTGACGTCACTGTAGTCCGTTGGCTAGGTAACACGCCATTGACTCTGGACCAAGATATTAGCGGAGGGGGATTTCCGGTGACAAAACAAACCAGAGAGGCAGTGTTTCCGTCTTTAACGGTGATCTCTGGCGGGCTAATTGTTACTTTTGGTGCAGAAAGCGATTCGCCTGGTTCTCCTTTCATACCTTGGAACCCCGGGGGCCCACGTTCTCCCTTAACCCCTGGGAGGCCTGGTTCACTCATGTCCCCTTTAAATCCCTGAGGACCTGGGAATCCAGCAAAACCTTTGAATCCTCTCATTCCTCTTATTCCAGGTGGACCTATGATTCCTGGTTCGCCTGGTGGTCCCGGCGGTCCTTGCGAGCTTGCGCAAGAGTCGAGGCTGTTTTGTATCATCGCTTGCAAGCCAGTGGTGATTTGTTTCATAGCTTCTTCTAAGTAGGCTGAGAAGTTGAAAGGTGAACCATTCCCGAATATATCTGTATAATTGAAAGGTGAACCATTTTCGAAATGGTCGTCGTCCTTGTCGGGCAACGGAGAAAGGTCTGGTACATTCCGTTTGTTTCTGTTGAATATCTGTTCAATGCTTGGTTTCTCCTTCTCGGAAATTTCGGCTCCTTCGTCTGAGGAAAAAAATCATGCATAAAAGATTCAAATGATAAATAAAAGTGAAAGTTTGTCAATCTGCATAATCGACAGAGTTGTGAGTGTATATTTACAAATGTCATCTTTGTCGAGCGTGTCATTAGCATGAGCGTTTGTGTCATCTATGTGTTTTTTTCCCCACCGAGTAAACATTTTGTAGCCTCCCTCAAGTCGGGGGTAATCAACCACACTTTCAAATATTATTTATCGTTTCCTACAACAAACCTTACAATTTCCCTTTCGGATGTTCCGTGGGTTTGTGGATTTCCGTTTGGGTAAAAAAAAGTCACCTTTAAATTCAAACTGAAACTCTCTCATTGATCTTTCTAAAACATGTTAAACTATCTTGCATTCTTGGATTGCAAATAAGCCCAATCTCTGCTCTATGATGCCTAGATACCCTTTATTTCAAAAATTTAATCCGCTACGGAATGCAGTGTGTAAATATCAATATAATTCAATGAAGACATTTGGCCATGTACGAGCAATCCACAAGTCTTTCGGGAAAAAAATTCTGCTGACTGAGAGGAACTACATTAAGTCCATTGCTTCTTGACTCTCGCTTTCTTGATTTTATGTACAGAACTACAAACATATTTCTACTCATGGATACCACAGACATACAAGCTGAATGCTATTTTTGCACACTTAACTAAGATTGCTAAGTTATTTTCAGACTTTTTTGAAAAAAAACAAAATATGAATCCGGCTGCAATGGACTAATTTTGTGTGTGGTTCTACGCCTATAAAAAAGGGGCTCGAGATATTTCCATAGCGGAGCTTTACGTCTCGAATACGAGTAGCTGAGTTGTGCGATCCCAAGATGGGCAGTCTTCAGTGAAATTTTTGTTAAATATACACCAAGGATAAAACGGGCCATGATCATTCAGGATATTATTCGAGAGAGCGTTGATAAATTGATGTCATTAACAATGTCAGTTAAACAAATCAAGACTCAGGACTCCGAGAACTGGAAATTTCTGACGAAGGTTGAGCCAGACTCATAGTTTGAACAGACGGTTCGCCTACTTAGAGAGGTTACAAATACACTTACTAGACTTATATCCATTTCACGAAGACAACGGGAAAGAAATAAAAGAGATTTTTCAACATCACTGTACCTTTAATATAAGTCTTCATTTCAAATTTCAGAAGAGCAATGGCTTCCTCAACAGCTTCCAACCTCTGGTCTTGATCATCAAACTTTAACTCGACCCTGACGAATCCCGCGGAATAGAGAACTAAACAAACAACTGACAGCACTAAGCCTGGGCTGACTGTCAAGCCACGATTTCTCGAGGTCTTTTGCAGTTCGGAGTACTCCATCGTCTCAGAGAACCCGTCAGGTTAGAAGTACTGCTCTTGCACTGCGGCAATGAATATATTAGCAGTGGTGAAAATTAATACTACCGCGATGATTCTATTTCTTTATATCCGGTTCACCCTCTCGCGTCCGAGCATTGGAATGAATCGTGAGCTGATGATCCTATTACTAATTGATCTGTTATAAATTGACGCATTTGACCTGTACTGACGTGCGCGCTTCTCTTCGACGTAGCCTGCTTGTTTTAGGGATTGTTTTTCTGATGAAATATATTTTTTCACTCTCCCTGAATTTGTAATAAGTCGGACGGCCATGCGATTGTGTTTATTCAGAAGAGTGCTTTGCGCAAGTGATATCTGGAAGTTTTTACCCATAACTAATTCGATATTTCCCAAAACTGGGCCCTTGCAGGGAAAAACCCCTCGGCTTTAATAAGATTAGGTGAGGAGGGAACTCTCAAATCTCGTGAGGTGTTGTTATTATTGTTCAAATTTCCAAAAATCAGTTTACCTTCTCGTTGGCTTCAGTTTTTGTTCCTTCTATTAACAACGTCCTAATTTTTTTCCTTCTACACTAACAGAGTAATTTCTCCACGTGTGAAAATCTTTTCCGATCTTTCGAGTCTTGACCTTCAAAATCGCTCATTAGATGAAATTTTCCCTTGCTAACTTCTACTCCTCTTACAATACTTATCTACTTCTCCACACGATAAAAATATATGCTACCCCTCTTCCCTTCTTATGTGTTATTAAGAGCGATATTCTGCAACTAACGTCGCACAATAAGCGTATTTGCAACTAATATTTAGCTGAAGATCTATGTCGTGCGGAAACACTAAAGCATTTTTGCTTGTCATAATGCGTGCTGATAATGATCGGCTAAAGCGGAAAATTCTAACTTGTACGATAAGTGATATTAAAATAAAATTTAAACTGAAAGAAAATATTTCCTGTGTGAACCTGCAAAACTACAAGTAGATCCAGGAAAATTGCAATGACGAACAGTTGTGCACCTCAGCCCACGCACACGGGATAACGCGCAACGCTAATCTGAAACTGTTATCTCTGTCAATATATTAATTACAAGATAGTCAGTGGGCACAGAATTTGATCTGCAGGATTTTTCCTTTCCTTTATTTTCTCACGCAGATTACTTTTACCTGCAATATATATTTTTCCTCATGCTTTCTTGACGAATGACGAGGGTCCTTTTGATTTGATTTTCTATTCATCTTAAAAAGAATAAATCTTAGTGATATAAAAAAAGTACGTCAGCAAACATGATGAAATTTAACTTCACATCTCTTTTTCGCAGGGAGAAAGATCGAAAGCATCTGTTATAATGATGTCATACCTTTGCAGTGCTCTAAACGCAGGCAGAGACAAACGCATACTTGTTAATCGTCTGTCGTTTAAGTCGAACAAAGTCAAAATACGAACCTCTTCAAAATCTTCACAGCCAAATTTGTACACGCAAGAAGCAGAGATCTCTGTTTTGTTACGGCTTATTTGAATCCTGTGGTGTAGTTTCATATCAAAGGAACCGCTTACTAAACGATGAACGGCATGGCTGTGCGTAATGCAAACCTTAATAGAGCCAAATTTCTTGAAAAAAGGTTTCAAAACTTGCAGCTGGCTCTTTCAAGGATGCTCATCCTTGCAAATTGAAGGTTATAATTTGAAATTTCTAGTCAGTAAATAGTCATTCTAGTGCGTGAAGTAGACTAGTTGCTTTTGCACGAAATTTACTTGATAAAGTGTCTACTGACAGGTTTGCCCCGTTGAAAAATTAACAAGAAACAGTATTTCAGATGTATCAATCCACGTAATTTCACGGCCTTTTCTTCATGTCGTCCTAATGAACTAAAAAAAAACAAAGGCACAGGGAATTTCATATCGTGTACGTGCTGAGCGCACATTTAGTACAAATGCGCGGAAAGTATTGATTGCATAACGCCTACTGTAATAAGTGTCACATAGCAATAAAATAGCTAAGCTTCTAGACAGGACAGGCAAGTTCTGTTGACGCAAAAACCGGATCTTGACTTTTTCCCCCTTTTTTAAGACAAACAAACATAAGGGGCTAAATTGCATGTTCGCCTGTCTGGACTTTCTCTTTTTTAGTCACTGCAATAACGATTAGATAGGTTTGTTACTTTGTTTTCTAAACAAACTGATTGGGTCAAAGTGTCCTCTATTCAAAGCCTTCTCTCTTCCACAATAAAGAATCAGCTTAGCATTGTTCAAATCAAATATTGAAGGATCAGTGTACATGAAAATCGAGCAGATTTGCGACAATTCTGTAACTACAACAGTTGCAGGTAAAATGAGCCTTATAGATAAATAAAGCCACCCTCTAGAACGTAAATAAACATGGGAATTGACGTCAAATTTCAAAGAACAATTGGCCTACTATAACTATAACAGAAAAAACACGTCAATGCAGGTTGAACTAATCATCTTAAAACGGTTCAATAAGTAATTGGATCACCGTTAATCACTTCATTCCTATGCTCAGACGCGAGAGGATAAACCGGATATATAGAAATAGCATTAAGTTAGCTATATAAATTTTCACTGCTGCTAATATATTTATTCCCGCGATACACAACCGATGCTTCAGAACTGAAGTGCGCACGATGGATTGTTCCGAAGCGCAAAAGAACAGGTCGAAAAATCATGGCTTTTCAGTAAGTCCAGGCATCTTGTTTTCTGCTTTCTGCCTGCTTCTATACACCGCGGGGTACATCAGAATCGAGCTGAAGTTGAATAATCACGATGAGCAGTTGGAAGCTTTTGAAAAAGCAACTGCCATGCTGAAGCACAGAATGGCAAAGGCCTCGATGAAAGGTACATTAGATAAATGTGGTATGGTAATCAGCTGATTAATAATTTCTGGCAACTTAAAGTTGGATCGCTAGAAAAAAAAATTGTGAAGAGAATAATAACTATTGCTCAAATCAGCCTCATGCATAGTTTTATGGGTGAAATCCCTCACCAGAATTTTTGTTTGCTGTTTCTTTTTTGTCTGTTGTTGGTCACTTTGTTGTTTTCTCTTGGGTCACTTGATACAGATGGATTTATTTTTGAAACAGTTTAAATGTAACAACCTCCCCCACCCCACCCCTTTACCTCATTTCCCTCCTGTCATAAGAGTCTCTTACTTTGTTTACACCAAAATCAAAGTTGAAAGTAAAAGCCAAATTCTATTCTTGGTTCTCTAGATGCTTAAACATAAGGTAGAGCTTTCTATCAAAACGCATAGATCTCGCTAAGAAATTATAAAAGTATTGGAAAATAATATACGAAGAACCATCTTGAAACAAGACTTTAACTGAGAATTATAAAACTACCTTGACTGTGTCAAATCTCAATGAATTTTTTCTTAAAACAACAACAATCTTTCGTTAAGAAATATTATGTGTTAATTTTGTGATCATTAATTACCAAATTTAAGAGCAAATTTTTTGGGAAAAAAATTCTCAGAGAGATATGGCACACAAATTACAATATTATAGTCATAATAATTTACTTTGCTCCCCATGGTTATTTATTCATTTATTTAATCAAATTTAAGTGTGCAAAAATGCAAATGAAAATCATAATTTCAAGATTAAAACAATTTTTTTCCAGCGGGTTGAATATTATCTAAAAGATAAATACATCAGTAGAAAGAATATTTAATAAGCTGCTCATATCATGCGGCACAGTTTTTCAGACAAATAACTCTTCTTAATCATTTTCTGTGACCCTTTGAGCCCTAGGATTTTTCCCAACAATATAATCCCGGGGTAAAACATTAAGGTCACGTGAATAAAGGAAATAATTACCAAATAAAGAAGCTCTTGATTTTTGAACAAAGTCTCCTTGCAAGCTCGTTAGGAAATGTAAAGAGAACAGTACAAAGAACATGCATACTGAAGGGTGAAAAGGGTTAAACTCACTTGAATAGGCCATTTTACAGTTCTGTGCTTAGTTGCCAAGCCTTTGATTTGGAGTGAGGCTGAAGGTAACCTTTTTGTGATAGAGACCAGTATCTAGTTAGCATGATGACAAAGTAATTTGCATTTGAAAAGCAGCAAGGTTTGCATCATAACAAGGTCACCCTTAGCCTCATTCCTGTTCAAAGGTTTGGCAACCAAGCACACAACTATAAAATGGACTATTGAAGAAGCGGATGTCTGTAGGTCGGCATGAATGGGAACCTATTGATCTGTCAACGATCGATCAAACTTGGTTAGGATTGTTCGAAAAACCATTTTTAAGCCTTGTCTTAAACATTGAAGGAAAAAATTAGAGAAAGAGTTTTACCTTCATAATTCTTTTTTCTAACAGCTGCATCCTTACCTGAATCAAATTAAAAAAAAATTTTGATGTTATATATAATAAATACCCATTTTAACGTTTTAAAAACAAAATATTGGAAAAGATGTACAGCTTGTTGGAGGAATTCGCATAGTAAAAACCTCTTGGATTCAAATGGTTATCTATCAATAAGCTATCAGAATAAGGGTCCTTTAAGACACTATTTGAAATGATGCTATTTATCCATTTATTTCCTAATTACTAGGAAACTTAACCCTGAAATCAAGCAAGGAGGTAGTCAATGAAGCGATTTATCAGCGGTTCAAACGGGAAACCTCAGCTGACGGACCAGACGATTTTCCTAACCCTTCATTCAATTTTACAGACCTACCGTACAATTATACAGATCTGCCATTCAACTTGACGGAGATTTTTGGAAATAATTCGCCATTCAACTATACAGACATCTTCGGTAACAATTCTCCATTCAACTATACAGACATCTTCGGTGAAAACTCACCTTTCAATTATACAGATATATTCGGAAATGGTTTACCACCATTTAATTTCTCGGCTTATATGGAAGAAGCTATGAAAGAATTCACCATTGGCTTGCAGGCGATGCTTCAAAGAAGTTTCAACTCTTGCGCATGCTCACAAGGACCACCTGGACCACCTGGAGAACGAGGATTCATGGGTCCACCGGGAATTAGAGGAGAAATTGGATTCAAAGGAGATGCCGGGCCACCGGGTACCCCAGGGATTAAGGGGGATACCGGCCCTCAGGGTACTCCAGGTTTTAAAGGAGATGCTGGACCACGGGGTAACACAGGTATGAAGGGCGAACAAGGCCAAACATGTTCAGCGCCGAAAGTAACTATCTCTCCAAGGAAGCTGACTGTTTTAAAAGGAACTACTGCCTCTTTTAGATGCTCTGCTAGTGGAAATCCATGGCCTCGAGTATCCTGGTCTAGGGCTGATGGATCGTTAGTTAACAAAAACGCCACGGTAACCTCAGATGGGCTCATAACGATTCCCTCCGTCCGGCTGATGGATGCTGGAAGGTACACTTGCACGGCGGAGAACATCGTGAGGAAGATTGAAGAAACAGTTGATCTGGTTGTACAAAGTAGGTTGCGATGATGTATTACTACCATTCGAAAAAATCACTAATTATTAGATTCTAACTTCGCAAAACTTTCCTATGTTAATTTCAGAAAAAAAAGCTTAATAGCTTTTGTTTTACATTCTTGCATATTACTACTTAATACTCTGCTACCCCACCCCCCCCCTTCCACCCCATGAAGCTTACTCGAGATATTTGACTTTTGAGTTATAAATACTGTTTTTTGAAAGCTTAAAGGTTTCTTCATCATTAAAAGTTTCCTTGTCATCAGCTTTAGTTGCACTTTCGCTTAATAATGTCCACTTATAGGTATATCGAACACATATAGAAAGAGACAAAGGTCGTTGATAGATCGGTTGACCATGTCCTTCACGATAATTGAAGATTCATACATTTTTAGTTACGAATAAACATTGTCAGGGACGAGAAAACAATGGTTAATGGCTAACAATTCTGCATTTTCTTATACGTGTGTTTTCACTGAGTCTTTTGCTTCTAAACTCTGATGCAGTATATCAAATTCATATTGTAGAAAGACCTTACAGTTGATCCCTACTGTGAGTGAAAGGTTTAAACACTGGATTGAAAGTCACTTATCAGTACATTTTGTTTTTTTTGATACGTTCTCATGCACTAAGACAGAACATTAACTAGGATATTGGAATCTAAACAGTGATCCTTGTTATTTCTCGCCAGGCTCACCAGAGGTTTCTCTTTCATTTGGGCCATCTTTCGTTCTTGAGGGCAAAGCTATCACTCTTCCAACATGTTACGCAAATAATAGCGTTCCTCCAGCGATATTCACCTGGTTTAAAGTTGATGACAATCTGAACCAAGATAGAGCCGTTCCTAGAAACGGGCAACTGTCAATAACGAATGCTAGAATGGAGGATTCTGGTTTGTACCAGTGTATGGCTTCCAATAGCATTGGATATCATTCGGCGTACACTAAGCTGACTGTTGTGACGATGCCAAAGTTTACGGTTCATCCACCTGCCAAACTTGAAGCGACTTCAAACAAAACTATCACCGTCCGTTGCCAGGCGACCGGTCAACCCAAACCTTTTATCACGTGGGCGAAGAAGGGTGGAGAATTGCCCAAAGGAAGATCAAATGTCAGCGAAGATGGAACACTTCAAATCTGGAGCCCTGAAAGTGACGACTCTGGGAGATATACTTGTACTGCATCTCTGGAACAGATTTCCGTTAATGTGGCCTCTGTTATGGAACTAACTGTTAAGATCAAGAAAAGAGGTCAGTCACTAACCCAATCGTAAAACATGATTATCTCATGAACTAAACGTTTGGGTCAAACACAAGAATGTCGGGCTTTGTAAGATTCTGATGACCCTCCCCCCCCCCCTCACTGGCAATCAATCTTCTACAATCCCCCCTTTATACTCTATATGCGACGATTGACTTCCCCCCCCATCCCCTTTCCATTCCCCCTGAAAATCATATGATCTCCCAGAATCCTTCGCCCACTTCAGGTAATAAATAATGATTGCTCTGGGTAGTGGTTATTTGTTGGTTTGTTACATTTCATTTTTTTGCTTCTTTTTTCAGTAAGCACGTTCAAGTTTCTTAAACATATTCAAATAACCTAAGTTCTCATCCCTAAATAATCCAAATGAATGACGATCTTTTTCTCAGTGTGTGAGGCGATCGGTGTACAGAATAGATACAAAGTACCAGATAGCAGAATGACGGCAAGCTCTTCCTTCGCTGGACATTTCGATGCATCACGTGGAAGGCTCTGGAACCAAAGACAAGGAGGATCATGGGAACCCAAATATCCCGCAAATGTTGGGAAAGATTGGCTTCAAGTGGATATGGGTTCAATGCTGTCTGTCTGTGCAGTGGCCACTCAGGGTAATGGCTGGATTTATCCTGACTGGGTCACTGCGTATAAAATCAAACTCTCGACGGATGGAAATATATGGAAATTCTATCAGGAAGACGGTGTGGATAAAGTAAGTATATTCAAATTGCTTGGGCTGCAAAGTGGGATTTTCTAATCGTTGCTATGCAGTGTTTTTGCAATTTTCTTCAATGTGCAACTTTAAAGAAATTTAGTGAGCTTGTCTATATTTATAACTCAAATTAAAACTGAGATTGTTCTTTTCAGTTTTTCTTTTTGACGAAGATTACATTTGAGTATAAATCATTTATCCTCTGATTTTCTTCTTTTTCTTTTCTTGTTTTTTTTTTTTTGTTTTTTCTTGCCTTGCTTTTATTTGTTTCTTCGGAGTCGATTATTGATAAGGCGATAAGAGCAGCATATTGAAATGCAGTCTTTGTTTCCTTTGCTGTCCGAAAACCCAACCCCTTAAAAATAAATCACATCGAAATAATGGGAGATCATACCTTCAAAATATTGTCCCTCTTTATATTTGTTTCTATTTACTTGACTTACGGTTGCACTTTCAGCTTTTTTTTTTTTTTTATTCCTGTTTGTTTGTCTTTTGGGTGTATTTTGTTTAGAAATTGATAAGGTTACATTTCTAAGCTGTGTTCTTCTCTTGTTTTAAACTCGCAGATATTCACTGGAAACACAAATGCAAATGATGTGGTAAAGAATTTCCTTTCGCCTTTTGGCGTTGCCAGATATGTTCGCTTTTACCCCGTGAGATATAACACTTACCCGTCTTTAAGAGTTGAAATATATGTTTCAAAATACATATAACCTACAATCTTGAAACTTCCATATCATTTGAAACTGCCTTTAAATCACTCCCGATATTATAACAGGGTACGTGCCAACTAGCTTTATATGAATATATTTTCAGTTTTGAATGAGGCTGTAGTTGTTTTACAGAAGTTCCTGTTATTTGGACTGAAATTTTTATTATCAAAAAATTTTTGTTTCAAATCTGTGATATATTGAGTGAAAAGCGGGTTTTCTGCATCTGGTCTAACGAAATGCTACACTAAGAAGCCTCTGATAACACTGACGTGTTAAAACCCGGCTCCCCTTGAATTTCACACTTACTCTACACTCTATTACGTTCGGTTGCGTACTTCAAAAGGTTGACTAAAGGAAATCTGACGTTTACCAGAGGTTTGTAACACAAGTTTTTTGTTGTTTAATTACTCTGAACCTTTTCCATGAAGACTGATTGATAGGTTAATACGATAAGTTATCTTTGCTTTGTGAAAATGAAATAAATGGATTCAAGAACTTGATTTTACTGGGTTTCTTTAAAATTTTTTTAACATTTTTTTCGATTGTGAGATTGTGCTCTCGGGCAGAACTAAAACACTTCACTCTCTCAGTACCTCTCTCCATCCAGGAATAAAGATGGGTACTGGAGAATTGTCAGGGAATCCTGTGTTGGGGTTAACCTCGCGATGGATTGGCAGATGTTTTTTTTAACACCACAGAGTGCCTATGAAAGATGGAGCTCCGTGCGTTTAGTAGCATTCAATAGAGAGGCTGATATGGAGCCTCAAGGCATTTACACGAGGTCTAATCCAAACTGCAGTTTTACCCTTAACGGTGTGCCTTGCGTATTTTCTACTGAAGAAATGTAAAATGGTTTCCGTGTTTACATCAGGCTATGTAAACACGTAATCTATTTTACATTTCTATTATAGAATAACTAAAGAAAGAGGAACGAAAACCGTGTTTACATACGCTCATGTAAAATGGTTTTATGGCCAATCAGAGCGCGCGTACTATTTGAATTATTTTATAAAAGAGAGTTTTTTCCTGATTAAATAGATTTCCTTCCACAGCCAGCGCTTTCGACCCTCTTGACACTGTTCATAAAAATAAATGTTCAGATGAAACATTCTGCCAAATCCAATAAAGTTTAAAACGCGGTTTTGTTCAACAAACGGCTAAAGTTTAACTAACTAGCACATGGGTTGTTGTCACTATTTCAAAATTGAAAGGAAGATGGGTTATTGTTGATAAAAAAACAACTCCTTACAACAACCTTCAAAATACTGTTTATTTCATAATTCGTAACTGTACACTAAAAACACGAAACAAAGTTATGATATTCCACATAAGGATGTATATAATAATGGCCGAGAATTTTATATTTACACGCTCTCGCTACAGATTATGTTATGTTATCGAAACTAAATCAAGAAAGCCTTAAGCGCATTTGATTAAAAAAAGACCTACAAAATCTACTCAACTTATTAAAAAATAATTCCTAACTTATCTGTTGACGTTGAAAACTCAAATTACACCAAGTGAGAAAAGAAGCCCCATCTGTATTATGTTCAAATGTTGACAAAATGAGACTTGAATTTTTCAAGCTAGGATTAAAATCATATTTCTAAAAGGGATAGTTGGCTCGGCACTTATCAAGATTAACTACCTAACTTGATATATTTAACTGCACAATTCTTTCCAGCAACTTTTTCTACATTTGAATAATTTTCCCTGTTCAACTCCACCTACTTTCACAGTCTAGAAAAAAATAACTTTAAGGAAAAAGATTACTGTCTTTATTTTGAGAGATATAATTGAATAATTTGAATGGTTTTCCCTGTTCTACTCCTCCTACTTTCACAGTCTAGGAAAAATAACGTTGAGGAAAAAGATTACTGTCTTTATTTTGAGAGAGACATGAGTCTTCCACAACTTATCACACCGATTCCAAATGCTAAGAAGTAAAGTGCGGAATTGGAAATTATACTGAGTATAATTATCTCCCGCAAAATTTTTACTTCCCAATGCAATGCTATCTGCTGATTAAATCGATTATTGACGCACTTTAAGTTTAATGCATTGAGCTCGCTGGTCTACTTATATGTTCGCCAGAAGAAGAAGGGTCGTTATAGAGAAGATAGTTGGAATCAATGTCAGTAAGATCTATCTGGGCAAATGCACACCGTTTTCTCCCCTTATCCAACAACAGTGAACTGATAACAAGTTTAAATTAATGTTGTGTAAGGGGAGGGGCAGTTGCCCAGTTGCTCAGACACTGACAATGATCCGGTAATGGTAATTACATAAAGATAAGAGTTATTTTAATAGTAATAATAATAATAATAAGAATAATGATAATAATAATAACATTACACCTACGTCACGAGCCTGTTCTGAATTGAATAAAATCCTTAAAAGATACATTTTCTAAAAGCAAATGCAGGAAAATCTTTAAATTCTCATATTTAGTTCCACCAGAAAATAAAACTCTAAACAAACGTCTTCGTTTATGTGTACTTGTCCATCTCTATTGAATGATATACTTATCCATAGCTGTTGACTTGTGCGCATGCCCTTGTTTACAGTCCGACTCAAAAATGTAGCTGGCTCGTTACCAATTCAACGCTAAGAGTTAGACAACTTGAAGGGAATCTTTGTCCAAGGTTTTCTTCACTTCCCTTATGCTCTTGCGAATTTTATTCTTGTGACCAATGAGCTTAATGCCCATTTCGTTGAGGTCGAGCTCATCATTATTGGCTACTTGGTTAAGGTGCGTGAAGCCTGCTTTGTTGAACTTGTCATGGTACTGTCCCATCTTGATGCTCTCCAGCCATTCTTGCACTGTTGTCATGGAAGTATATTCCATCTTGGGTGACCTACAACAAGTAACACCAAGTATACAGTGACTCAAACTATACATAATCATGCGGCAAGTCACACTACTCTTACGATAAGTCACGCTATACCCAATAAGGAGGAAAAAAAAAGTAATTCCTTTGGTCGTATCATTTTTTCAGTTGCCAGGTTGGTAGTGACAACACAAGCACCAAACGTCAAGTCATCAAACACATTTATTATGGCACATGGGTTCAATGGGGATTCCTCGATGGGAAAACACTAAAATCTTTACACCATGGAGAGTCTAAAAATTCCATCGGAAGTAAAACAGCACTCTCCTCAATCGATATCTCAAGACAGAAAAAAAAACCCTCAAATTAGGCTACACTCAAATTAAATGCAAGACAACCGCTGTCCCTCAAGGGTAGGACACCTTTACAGGCTCATATTTTTGCTCCCAATATCTCATTGTTAATTCTCCCCTCTAACTACTATACATTTTTGCTCCCAATATCTCACTGTT